ATTTTATTCTGTTACCTCTTTAAGCCCGTGGTTAACCAGAGGCAGTGATCTGGACAGTCCTGCTCCACCATCATGTGGCTTTTCCCCAGTACAAATCGCTGCTCTCTGGAGAGGCTTTGGAGCCACCTGGGCAGTTTCTATTTTGCTTGCCAATGGTTCTAAAATGGGTCAGAACAGGAGGTTAATTAAACCAACCATGACACCACAATAGACCCACAGCTGAAAATTCATTCTCTATTCTTTTCTTCTGCCAGCTACATAGTCCAAACTAACTTAATTAAGGTTCTTTAATGGAATCAAATCACATTATTAAGGTATAGCAATAAAAATGCATGGTAAAACATCATGATGTATGTGAACTACTTTGCAAATTATTTTTAATTTAAATGAGATCATAAACTCTTGAGACTTTAAGTAAGAAACCCAAGAATAATGGATATTTGCTTTTTGCTTATTTATTTTTGAAAAAAAATCATGATGCTCTTCTGGTTTAACAAAAAAATGTTATATATTTATATATAAATATACACTTGTAAGATAGCTATATATGTTGTAGAATATGTATGTATATGTGTACATATTTATATATCTCTTTCAGAAGTGAAATATCAATTTAAACATCAACATGACCATTAAGACATGACAAAATTATATTTTATAAGTTCATGATTAGTTTTAGAAAATGTAGCAACAATTTCTAAAGGTCATTCTTAGAGGATTCTTTGTCAGAAATAATATTTGCAATAGCAGGATTTTTGTTACAGAATAATATGCACTTGTCTAAAGCTAAAGGACAATAAACATTTCTTTCTTATTTTATTGCTGGTATTTCTTCACATAACAGGAGGGTAGTTAATTTTTAGGTAAAAAATGGAAAAAAATTTTAAAGGTCTTGATCGGAAAAATGTAAAATAGTAAATATTAATAAGGTTATTCACTACCAAATAGTAATATGGGGCATGTAGGGTTTTATTTGTTAGCAGTTTTGTTATCATATTATTGTTACTGGGGCTACATTGTGACATTTACAAAAGTTCTTACAATATATCATAGTTGAATTCACTCCCTCCAACATTCTCCTTTATTTTCGCCCTCCCCCCATTTCTGGAATAGTTTCAACAGGTCTCATTTTTCCACTTTCACACATGAGCACATAATATTTCTACCACATTCATTCTCCTTATAGCCTCCCTACCCTGGTACCAACCCCCAGACAGGACCTGTCTTACCTTCCTGTTCTCTGTTCTTGAAAAAAAAAAGACATTTCTTCTGTTTGTTTAAGATAGCTACACAGGGGGTTTCATTATGACATTCCCATGTGTGTGTGTGTGTATGGATAGATAGATAGATAGATAGATAGATAGATAGATAGATAGATATACATATAGATAGAGATATACATATATATATTGTAACTCTAATTGGTTCATCTCCTTATTTTTCTCCTTTCTACCTTAGTCCCTTTCTTATGTTTTCAACAGGTTTAAAATTTCTATATTCATTCTTGTTTAGAAAGTATATCAGTCATAGTTACCTTCTTAACTTCCTTATTTTACTCTCCCTCTCCTATTAATGACCTCTCCTTAGCGTGAACTGTTTTTCATAATATTGCTTATATTTGTATTAGGCCTACATTCCACATATGAGAAAAACATGCAGCCTTTGACTTTCTGAACCTGGCTAACTTCACTTAAGATGATGTTCTCCAATTCCATCCATTTACCTGCAAACAACAAAATTTCATTCTTCTTTATGGCTGAATAAAATTCCATTGTATATAAATACCACATTTTCTTAATCCATTCATCAATAGTTGGGTATCTTGGCTGTTTCCATAGCTTAGCTATTATGAATAATGCTGCAATAAACATGGGAGTGTAAGTGTCTTTATTGTAACCTGACTTACACTCCTTTGGGAATATCCTAGGAATGGGACTGCTGGATCATATGGCAGTTGTTTTTAATTTTTTGAGGCGCCTCCATACTGTTTTCTGTAGCAGTTGCACTAATTTACACTCCCTTCAACAGTGTAAAAGGGTTCCTCCCACTCCCACCCCTACTCCTGCAAGCTCACCAGCATTTGTTGGTGGTGGTGTTCTTGGTGGTAGCCATTCTAACAGAAGTGAGGTAGAATCTTAACATGGTTTTGATTGGCATTTTCTTTGTGGCTAGGGAGGTTGAGCATTTCTTCATGTATTTTTTGGCCATCTAGACTACTTTCTTTGAAAAAGCTCTGTTCAGTTCATTTGTCCAATTTTTCATCAAGTTTTGGGAGTTTTTTGAACTCCCTGTATATTTTGGTTATTAATCCCTCATCCGATGTATAGCTGTCAACAATTTTCTCCCATTCTATGGGTTGCCTCTTCAATATGATAACAATTTCTTTTGTTGTACAGAAGCTTTTTAGCTTCATGTAGTCCCATTTGTCCATCCTTTCTCTTAGTTATTGAGCCATTTGAGTTCTATTTAGGGAATTATTGCCTGTGCCTATAAGTTCCAGTGTATTCCCTGCTCTTTCCTGTACCAGCATCAGAGTTTCATGTCTTATATTAAGTTCTTTAATCCACTTTTAAATAATACTTGTACAGGGAGAAAGACATGGATCTAGTTTCTGTTTTCCGGATGTAATTACTCAGTTTTCCCAGCAACATTTGTTGTGAGAGGCTCTATTCGTTTGTTTTAAGTGCCTTTGTCAAAAATCAGATGAGCATAGCTGCTTGGATTCATAGCTGGTTCTTCTATTCTGTCCCATTGGTCTTCATGTCTGTTTTTGTGCCAGTGCAATGCTGTTTTTATTGCTATAGCTCTGTAGTATAGTTTGAAGTTGGGTGTTGTGATATCTCCAGTGTTGCTTTTTTAGCTTAGTATGGGCATGTAAGGTTTTACACTTCAGTACTGTATTTTTGTAACCTGATAACATTATTTAAATAGACATTCTTCTATAGTAGATGTCAAAGAACTAACAAGATGACCAGATACCATTCTCTTCCAGAGTGGCCCACCAGATCAGACCATCCTCCCCAGACCAGCTCTACTTTAACACCATGAGATCTTCTCTGTTACTTGCCACAGTGATTCAGTGGCAACTATCATTGCCAGCAGAGAGGCAGAATAAGGCAGGATGTGATGTCCAATATACTGTCCTATCTATTTAGATAAATGTTTAATTGGTTAACTGATGATGGTAGCTAACAAGGCACTAGATACTTGGCATCTAGAATATTCTTTCTGGCACAGTGAACTCTAGTAGTTCTTAATGATTCCTCTGGTTAAACTTCAATTTCGATTGGATAAGTCCCAGTCTTCTCTGGAGTCTAACTCACTGACTTATCTTGACCCAATTTTGACTTCAGGCCTAACATGTTCAATGAGTACAACATTCCTAGCCACAACTTAAAGTGCTCTCTGTCCTTCCCTTCCTTTCTGAGCCCTCAAAAGAAGTCCCAGATACAAGAAAATCCCAAAGTGAAGATGATAGGAATAGGCTACTTTCCAGACACTGCCTTGACCTATGAAGAAATCACACCTAGAGGAATTCTAGAGCTTCAAGATGTGGTAGTAAGCCACACACCAGTGGCTTACACCTGTAAAACTAGCTACTCAGGAGGCAGAGATCAGGAGGATCGCAGTTCAAAGTCAGCCTGGGCAAATAGTGCACAAGACCCTATCTTGAAAAACCCTTCACAAAAATAGGGCTGGTGGAGTGGCTCAAGGTGAAGGCCCTGGGTTCAAGTCCCAGTACCACACACACACAAAAAGATGTGTTAGTGAGAGGGTCAGTGGCTTCTAAAACACAGATAGTATAGAGCAGAACTTGAAAAGTCATCGATAACAGATAGGAGTTCAATCAGGCTTAGATAAATGGCAGATAGCCATTACCAAAGGGGTAAAATTGTCTCCTGGTAAGGAAGCAAGAGCTCACAACTGGGCCCCATCTCCCGCACACACAGTACGGATGGTTGTGTTAGCAACTTTTCATCCCTGTGACAAAATGCCTGACCAAAACAACCTAAGGGAGGTACGGTTTATTTTTGGCTCAGTTTCAGTTCACAGTTCTCAGTTTTACTGATTCTGAGTCCATGTGGAGGCAGAACACCCTGGTGTTAGAAGCATGCAGGCTACTCAACATAATAGTGGACTGGAAGCAGAGAAAGAGACAGACAGTCAGAGGGGTCCAGGACAAGATATAACCTCCAAGGACCCCCAGTGACATACTCCCTCCAGCTGGTCCCCCTTTCTGAAGTTTCAAGAACCTCTAAAAATAGCACCACTACTTGGGGACTAAGTGTTCAACACATGAGCCTGTGGGGTACATTGCATATTCAAGCCATAGCAGTAGCCATGCTGGGAGAGTAAATCTGGAAAAAGGTATATTACTGGGACAGTCTCTACATGATTGCTTCCAGAAATATGCAAATCTCTCTCATGCATAGAACAATGCTAAAAGTTAGAACACTTTTATTTTCCTTGAAACTTGGACCCATTCATCATCTTAATTTAGGTACACAAAGACTGAACATATTTCTAGAAATATATACTGTCAAATACCTCTCAAGTTCTTCCTAAGTATGATCTATAAGCTAATAGCCACCATCCTTTCCCCTCAAACACTCCACATCTCAGTTCTTTAAACCTTTCATCTAATGTTGCATCCCAGGGACAGCTATTTTATTTTTCACCTCTGAATGTATTCAAGTTAGTGGTTAATCCTTTAATATTGAGGATCTTGGAAAGATGGAATGCTTAACTGGGGGCCCAATTAAACCTGAGTAAAGTGAAACCACCATTCTCTTAATATTTAATATGATTCTGTTTACAGAGCTTGGGGTGACCATAGTATTTTCACTACCCCATTACACTTCCAAATTACTAGAGCTTATTAAGTTCCAAAACATTGTCCACCACTCATCCACCCTGTTTTATAATTGATTTTCTGGGCCCAAGTGAATACCTTATATTACTAAACAACTATCTAGTGCTTTTCTTGTCCTCTCAAGCAGGTCCCAGACATTGGACTTAAGCAACAATAGCACAGTAACAAGAGTTGATCCTTGTGGGATTTGAGCAGAGTTCCCCTTCCACTTGGGCATTGCTCTTCACCCTCTTCCTAGCCCTCTATAGCCTTGCCATGGCCATGAATGGCCTCATCATCTTCATCATGTGGACAGACCCCAGACTCAATAGCCAAATGTACTTCTTCCTTGGCCACCTGTCATTCCTGGATATCTGCTTCATCACCACCACCATCCCACAGATACTGGTCCACCAGGTAATCTGTCTCCTTTGACTCTTGAATGGAGACACTGTCTCCTTTGTCTCTTGAGTGGCCCAGATGTATTTGGTCTTCTTCATGGGTGTGGACGAGTGCATCCTTTTGGCTTTTATGGCTTATGACCATTATGTTATTATCTTCCACCAACTTAACTATGCCCAGATCATGAGTCACCAGGTCTGTGTCAGTCTGTGGGTCTTTTCTAGACTTTTGGGCTATAAATGGCATCTTTCTTGAGTACATGTCATTCCGGAATTCCTTTTGCAAAGACAACCATATTGAAAACTTCTTCTGTGAGGCTCCCATATTGATTGCCCTCTCCTGTGGGGACACTCGGGTCAGCATGAAGTTCATCTTTGCCGATGCCACTGTGGTGCTGCTTAGTCCCATGGTGCTCATTATCACCTCCTATGCCTGCATCCTGGTCTCCATCCTCTGCAGAGCCTCCTCCTCAAGTCTGGGGAAGCCCTTCTCCACTTGTGCCTTCCAACTAACTGTGGTCATCTGTTTCTACACCTCGGCTATGTTCTCATACATGAATCCCTGCAGCACAAGTGGGCCTGACAAAGACAAGCCTTTGTCCCTCCTCTACACCATAATCACCCCCATGTGCAACCCCATCATTTACAGTTTCCACAACAAGAAAATGAAGGGTGCCATGAGGAGGGCCTGTGGGAGAACCAGCCTGGCCCAGGTAGTCTGTCTAGCAGGAAGGCCCCTGGAGAAGAAGCTCCCTCTTCTGGGGTGGGAAAGGTTGCCTCTTTCCCAGCCTTGATAGTTCAGTCTCCAACGCTGAAGGGCTCCAGGAAAGTGTGTTTTCATAGATTCTTTGGTACCAGACTCACACCTGGCCATCCCTCCTGATGTCTAAGGCTCATCTCTAACTTGGATCCCAGCACTATTTTCCCTTGACCTGCCTCAAGAAAATCTGAGAGATGTTCTTGAATTTTTTTTCCTCTAAGTTCTCTCAACAGAATTCAATAAATAAGGGCATTTAACTCCATTTTATTTGTATAATAGTTTTCATGCTATTCTCCAGGCTGACTTTTGTGTATATATTTAAGAGTAATTTTTTTCTTTCAATTTGTCATCTGTTTTTCTTTCTTACATCCTACTCTGACTTCCTAGATCTTCCCTCTCCATTCTATTCCTGCATGAGAAAAAGTTGGTGAAGAAGTAAGAAAAAGAGAACTAGGGAATGGTGTCAACATTAAGAAATGTCAGGAGATTCCAAGATGGTGGCTAGAGGGAGGAAGAAGAAAGCATGCTTCCTAAAGTAAAATCTTGGAGAGATGCTGGAGATACACCTTACAGGAAAAAACACCGAGAAGAGGCAAAACTTTGACTCCTCCACACCTGCACATAGCATCTCCACTTCACGTTAAATGGAGAAACCAGCCGCCAGACACCAGCTCCCAGACTGCTTGGGAAGATGCGGACCACAAGGTGAACTAGCAGCATGCAGTACTCCCACAGACAACCCTGGGCCAGATCAGCATAGCCCCCTGGACAGACCGACACCCATCCAGGGAAAGAAGGAAAAAAAACTGAATAATAAACAACAACAACAAAAAAGACACGAGCAAAGAGGGCAGGGTGCCCTGAGTGCCGAAGAAGGGGGAAGGGGAAATCCCTCACGGAACTATAAATAAACAAGCCAGCTGGAGATGACAGGAGAAGCGGCACACATCCAGCAACCAGGAGCGGGAAAGCTTGTAAAAGTGGCAGTGGGAGGAAAACTCCACAGGAGAGGGGGGAAGGCCCACTTCCCATGTGAGCTGTAAATAAACAAGCCGGCTAGAGAAGGCAGGTGTGGTGGCACACACCCAGCAACCAGGAGCAGGAAAGCTTGTAAAAGTGACGGTGGGAGGAAAACTCCACAGGAGAGGGGGGAAGACCCACTTCCCACGTGAACTGTAAATAAACATGCCAGCCTGAGAAAGCTGGTGTAGTGTCACCTCCTCCAGTGTGCTTGGAAAGGGGAAAGCTTGTAGCAGTGGTGGCCGCACTCAGGAGAACTCTAAATAAACAAAGCCTGAGGGGCTAGGTGGGTGTTAAGCTCACTCCTGAGATCTGCAATCAATAAAGCCTCCAGCAACAGCTGGCTGACAGCAGTGGGCAGGTGAGCTGCAGCCTCAGATAGTCATTCACAAAGCTATCACCAGACTCTTTTTTCTTTCTCTCTTCCTTTGATGAGACAACAACCAAACTACACCTGCATGCTGAAAAACTTACTGAAACTGTATTGAATTTGAACTTGGGACACTTTGTGGTGTTTTCTTTTGTTGGTTTCTTTTTTGGTTTTTTTCCCCTTTAATGAGACAATGACAGAACTATGTCTGAGACACCATCTCCAGGATTGGAGGTTGAGGGACTAACATCAAAATTATTAAGTCTGAAACTTTATTGCATTTGAACTTGGAGATTTTTTTAAATTTTATTTTATTTTTCAATCCTCTCTCTGTCTAATACCTGTTTAGCTTACTGTTGATTAGTACACTGTCTCTCCGTATTTATATCTTCGAAACTTTTTGTTCGTTTGTTTATTTTACTTGTTTATTTGTTTTTCCCTTTTTCTTTACCTTCTTTGCTTTCCCTCTCCTCTCACTCATCCATTCTAAATATCACCAATGTTATTATTACAAGCTAGAAAATACTTAGTTGCATACATACAGGGACAATAACAACACCAAGGGCAATGATGGGAAGACAGAAAAAACAGGGAAACCAGTTTCCCCACAGCAAAAAATTAGTACAGGAACCAGAGGGAAATGAAGAAAACAGATACTCAGATCCAGACTCCAACAAAATGAAGATAAACTATGCCAAAGAACCCAATGAAGCCCACAAGAATAATCTGAAAGAAGAAATCCTACAAGAAATCAATGAGAATTTTATAGAGATGATACTGGATATGGTCAACCAAAATGTACAGGAGACACTCAAGAAATTCCAAGACAATAAAAATAGAGAATTTGAGAAAGCACAAGAAGAAATCAAAGAAACCATAGAAGCTCTGTATAAACACCAAAGTGAAACAAAGAACACAATTAATAAAGAGATAAACGAATTCAGGACGAAAACAGACAACATTAAAGAGGAAACGACTCGGGATATGGAAAACCTCAGAAAAAAGAATGAAGCAGAAATGCAAAACAAATTGGAAGGCCAATCCAGCAGAAGAGAACAAACAGAAGACAGAATCTCAGAACTTGAAGATGAAATGGTAATTAAAGGAAAAACCAAAGAACTATTAAACAACTCAAGACCTGTGAAAAGAAAATGCAAGAACTCACCGACTCCATCAAAAGCCCAAACCTGAGAATCATGGGCATTGAAGGAGAAGAGGTGCAAGCAAAGGGAATGCATAATATTTTCAACAAAATAATAACAGAAAATTTCCCAAATCTAAAGATATTCCCATACAGATGCAAGAGGCCTCCAGAACACCAAACAGACCAGACCAAAATAGAACTACCCCATGGCATATTATCTCTAAAACAACAAGTACAGAGACCTGAGAAAGAATAATGAAGCCTGTAAGAGAGAAAAAACAAATAACATACAAAGGTAAACCCATCAAAATCACAGCAGACTTCTCAACAGAAACATTAAAAGCAAGAAGAGCTTGGGGTGAGATCTCCCAGGCCCTGAACGAAAATAACTTCAACCCTAGGATACTCTACCTGGCAAAACTATCATTCAAAATAGATGGAGCAATAAAAGTCTTCCATGATAAGCAGAAACTAAAGCAATATGTGACCACAAAGACACCACTACAAAAGATTCTTCAAGGGATTCTGCACATAGAAAGTGAAACCCAACATAACCATGAAAGGACAGGCATCGCCAAACTACAGGAAAAGAAAAGCAAGAAAGTAGAGAGTAACCTCAACTTAGGTACACACAATCAAACCTTCAAATAACTAAGACAACTAAAATCAGGAATCACTAAATACCTATCAGTACTAACACTTAATGTTATTGGACTTAATTCCCCCATGAAAAGGCACCATTTGACGAACTGGATTCAAAAGGAAGATCCAAAAATTTGTTGCTTACAGGAGACCCATCTCACCAACAGAAATAACCATAGGCTTAGGACAAAAGGCTGGAAGAAGATTTACCAAGCCAGTGGCCCCCCAAAACAGGCAGGAGTAGCAATACTTACCTCTAACAAAGTAGATTTCAAACTTACATTGATCAAACAAGATAAAGAAGGACATTCCATACTAATAAAAGGGAAAATAGACCAAAAGGAAGTAACAATTATCAACCTATATGTACCCAATGTCAATGCACCCAATTTCATCAATGGTGGGAATGTAAACTAGTACAAACACTCTGGAAAAAAATTTGGAGGCTACTTAAAAAACTAAACATTGATCTACCATTTGATCCAGCAATACCACTCTTGGGATATACCCAAAAGACTGTGACACAGGTTAATCCAGAGGCACCTGCACATCCATGTTTATTGAAGCACTATTCACAATAGCCAAGTTATGGAAACAGCAAAGATGCCCCACTACTGATGAATGGATCAAGAAAATGTGGTATTTATACACAATGGAATTTTATGCAGCCATGAAGAAGAACGAAATGTTATCATTCGCAAATAAATGGATGGAATGGGAGAACATCATTCTGAGTGAGGTTAGCCTGGCCCAAAAGACCAAAAATTGTACATTCTCCCTCATATGCAGACATTAGATCAAGGGCAAACACACCAAGGTGATTGGACTTTGATCACATGATAAAGCAAGAGCACACAAGGGAGGTATAAGGATAGGTAAGACACCTCAAAAACTAGATAGCATTTGTTGCCCTCAATGCAGAGAAACTAAAGCAGACACTTTAAAGAAACTGAGGCCAATAGAAGGGGACCAGGAACTAGAGAAAAGGTTAGTTCAAGAAGAATTAACTTAGAAGGTAATACACATGCACAGGAAATCAATGCGAGTCAACTCCCTGTATAGCTATCCTTATCTCAACTAGCAAAAACCCTTGGTCCTTCCTATTATTGCCTGTACTCTCTCAACAAAATTAGAGATAAGGGCAAAATAGTTTCTGCTGGGTAGCGAGGGGAAGGGGGGGAGAGGGAGGGCAGGGAATAAGGAAGGGGGTGGGAGAAGGGGGGAGAAATGACCCAAACATTGTATGCACATATGAATAAAATAAAAATTAAAAAAAAAATCCATTAGAAGAAGAAAAAAATCAGCAACTTGAACTCCATCTTCTTAGCTCCCTACCCAGTAAAGCAGATGTGTTGTGCCCCTAAATACCAACCCTGCATTCAATTTGTTTGTACTTTTTTGTTGTCGAGGAAGGGCAAGTGGAAGAATTCAATGTATCAAATCACTTCTCCTAAATTCTGTAATTTTCTTGAGTACTGATGATCATCTGCTATTTTTCTTCCCATTCAAGGGGTATGTCTACCAGGTTTCTCAAGCTACCACTTTCCTCCTTGCTTCCCAAGCCCCAAGTCAACTCTCCCATCTACCCACCCACCCATCTTACTGCCTTCCTTTTTCTCTCCCCTCTTTGATTTAAAGGGATCCATTTAGTTCCCCTCCACTTTTAGAAGACCTCCACAATGTCTTCACCATTGCAGAAGTCTTTCTATTTGCAAGTGTTTTTTCTCTGGCTTCCTCTAATTTTTCTCTTTAACCAAACCTAGCTTTCCTTGAGAGGCCCCACACTCGCAGCAGTCCTCATTCTTTTAAAAGCATTTTTTTCTCATGTCCCTTTCATAATAAATAGGTGTTGGGTCTA